CTCCAACCTTCAATCCAGTTTGCTAAATGTCTTGTACAAATTGGTCATTAATAATTGTGCATACAGGCAAATGTCATGGGGTCATCTGATTGGAACTGAGCAGATGCCTGGTCTGTGGAAGCCCTCTGAATGCTCGTGACCTAGGATGGAAACTTGTACTCACCAGAATGTGCTCGCACGTCCAGTCTAGCTGATGTATCCATTGAGGTGAAAGTATCTGGGCTGGGGAATACAACTTTGACAGTGGATCCTCTGTGGGGTCTGTAGCTTCTTCCTCGGAGGTGGGGATGAATTGCTATCTGCAGGCACTAGTCTCTTTCAGATGGAGAATGTGTGGGTGTTGCTGGTGCCTACAGAAGACAAAAGGTAATGAGTTCTGCAATAGGGAAAGAAGATTGTGCAGTTTAAGAATCCATTCACAGCAGTGTTAATGGGGAGTTGGTTGCTGGGACTTGGAATTCTTGTCATCACCACGAGTGTCATGATCCTGTACCACTAGAGCAAGAATTCTCTTGTTATATGGGATGAGGTGACAAATGACAGGCACCTTGTCTTCTGCCTTGGCTCTTTCAGCCCTGTCATGAGCCATCTTGTCCTGCATTATGAGAAAGGGAAGTATTGGGGAACATAAAAGTGGTCAGATGTTATTAGTGGTAGCGGTGCAGGAAAGGCAGTGAGGTGTCCTGAATGGATGAGTAGGAAGCACAGAAGACAAGGAGGCTTAGTAGTTTGTGTGGATGGGGCTGGTAAGAGCAAATAAGTGAAGATGCTGTATTCAATAGTGGGCATGGTAGACCATGAGACTTGGTGGGATGTGGGTACAGTAGCACAGAGACAGTGAGTGAATGTGAGGTTGAAGAGGGTACATGGTGGTACTTGCCCTCATAAAGCACGGAAGGTAATGAACCTTTTAAAGGCAATGCTTCATTTTCCTCCAGATTGTGGACACTGCACAGACCTCCATGGCTATCTTGGACCATCTTGTGCTACGGTCTCCTTTGTCAAGGCAGTGGAAGGAGAATGGCCCTCCTCTCCACAACACCATCCACGAGGACATCCAGGGCCCTGTCAATGAAGTTTTCATAGAATCATAGAATCCCGTAAGTGTGGAAGCAGGCCATTCAGCCCATCATGTTTTCTTTATTCATTAATAGGATGAGGGCATTGCTGGCTAGGCAGCATTTATTGCCCATCCCTAATTGCCCAGAGGGCAGTTCAAAGTCAACCACATTGCTGTGAGTCTGGAGTCACATATAGGCCAGACCAGGTAAGGATGGCAGTTTCCTTCCTGAAAAGACATTAGTGAACCAGATGGGTTTTTCCAACAATTGACAATAGATTCATAGTAATCATTAGATTGATAACTCCAGATATTTTATTGAATTCAAATTCCACCATCTGCCATGGCAGGATTCGAACCCGGGTCCCCACAACATTATCTGGGTCACTGGATTAACAGTCCAGCGATAATACCACTAGGCCATTGCCTCCCCTATGTCCAACCACCCCTCCAAAGAGCATCCCACCCCCCCTACCCTATGCCTGTAACCCTGCCTTTCCCATGGCTAATCCAACTAGCCTACAAATCCCTCAACTCTGGGCAATTTAGCATGGCCAATCCACTAAACTGCACATCTTTGCACTGTGGGAGGAAACTGGAGCACTTGGAGGAAACCCACGCAGACACGAGGACAATGTGCAAACTCCACACAGAACTTTCCTCTCAAACCTGTCCTTTTGAAATTTTATGGAAACACAAGAACAACCCTGGTGTGCAGCAATTTGAAACGATGTGCAGCTGTGTTTGAAACAGGGTGCCTGCAGCTTGGTCACTGGAAAGTCCCAGTATCAGTGACTGTCCACCACTGCTGAGCACAAGATTGCACAAGTGCAACACCCTGGAATTAAAACGCATAGTTAATGAGGTGATCTAAGGAGAATTGCATGAGAAAAGTTACCAGGGGTCACAAAAAAACCCTCCCTGAAACTTCCTGAAATTGACAGCTAAAATATGGAAAGATTCAGTCAAGATAGAATTCTTAAATATGTCTTTTTCTGATTGCGAGAGTGTGACGATGGAGTCTCAATGAATCAGTTGAGGGGAATGAATGCTTGACAACTAAATTTGCAAATGAGACAACACTAGGAAGGAAGATATGTTGTGAAGAAGACATAAGAAAGTTGCAAAAGGATATAGATGGATTGAATGAGTAGACAAAAACAGCTGGAAAATTGAGTATAATGTGGGAAAAGCTGAAATTATTCACTTTGGCAGGGAGATGAAAAGCAATTACTTAAATGGAGAATGATTGACAAAATTCCAAGCTGTAGAGGGACCTAACTGTTCTCGTCCCTGAGTCACAAAACTTTAGTATGCAGGTACAGCACATGGTCAAGAAGGCTAATGGGATTGCTATCCATTCAATACTTTAGGAATTGAACATAAAAATAAGGATGTTACATTTCAGTTATATGGGGCATCGGTGAGACCACATCTTGAATACTGTGTGCAATTTTGGTCTCCTTATTTAACAATGGATGTAAATGCATTGGAGTTCAGAGGATGTTAAATACATTGATGCCTGGATTGAGCAGGTTGTCTTATAAAGATAAGTTAGATAGGCTGGCTTGTTTGCACAGGAGTTTAGAAGAGTGAGGGGATGACTTGATTGGAGTGAATAAGATCCTGAATGGTCATGACAAGGTGGACATGGAAAGGATGTTTCCTGTTGTGGATCTGTCCAGAAGAAGAGGGCATTGTTTTAAAAAAAGTGTCAACCTTTTAAAAACAGATGAGACAAATTTTTTTACTTGGGTCATATGACTCTGGAGATTGCTGCCTCAGAAGGTGGTGGAGATGGGATCATTGAATACTTTTAATGCAACAGTTAATAGATTCTTGTTAATTGCAGAATTGTGGTTTATTGTAATTAGATGGGAATGTTGCATTTAGAGCACAAAAAAATCATCTGTGATTTCATTCAATGGTGGAGTAGGCTTGATGGGCCATGTGGTCTAGTTCTGTTCCTATTTTGCATGTTTGTATGCTTGATTTTTATCAAATGCAATTCATTGTTGCAGAGATCCTTTAGAAGGTTGCAAGTGCTCTGAGTCATATGTTTTCACTCATCATCGCCATTGTTAGTGCATCCACCCAGGTGGCAATTTCCATCAAAAAGTCAACAGAATTATAAACTTCAAAAATGAATTTTGGTTGTATTAAAACCTAGGTTTGCATCTGATGATTTTGTCAGACATTAATTCACCATCTGCAATGATTCTGGAAACTTATTGCAGATGGTGTCAAACTCCAGGATCATCTCTAAATTCAGTCAAATCCAGGACCCTGCTTCAGTTTTAGCAAAGGCAGGATAATGTCCCATTGTCAGGCAAACTCAGGATTTACCCATTCCTTAGAAAACAAAGGATTGCCACCAAGAAGAGGAGCCAATGTTTCCAAAATGTAGGTGCTGTTAGCATGGCCACTTTTCTTACTGCTCTCTTTAACTGCCAGGAAAATCAGTGTCATACACCTGCAGCATCATTGCAATGGTGCTCCCACATTGCTGGTACTTCAGGAACAGCAGGATTTTGACCCAATGATTGTGAAAAGAAATGATGATCAAGTCAAAATGTTATGCAACTTGCATGTGAATATATTACATTTGGTGCTTCTCCAGCTCTTCATGCTATAGGTCGTGGGGTTGTAGATTCTACCATAGTTTACTATGAATTTCCAATAGCGAGTGCCTACTGTAATGGAATGGGGAAGTAATAAACTAAATTCTCACGCTTCTTCCCAGTATTATCAACTGTTAGATGTTAATGCCTGACTGACATTTGATACATCCATGTTGCTGTGTATTTCCTTTCTTTAAAATAGAGAGCCATGATAATCAAATCTTTCGATTTGGGTTTAGATTTTATTGGCATGTATATTCAAGTATAGGAATGCTGTGAAAAGTGCATAATGTTGCCACACATGGTGTGATCTTAGGCACGAAGGTGCTTAGGTACAAAGTAGTAAAAGAAACAAAGTTTAAAAAATTAAACATTATTTTCATAGCATGAGTTGAAAAATAAAGAAATAAAGTAATAGTTAGCATTAAAGTCCTTCTTAATTTAAACTAGAAAAGTAAAGGAATAAAGTTAAAAGTTCACAGTCTTTGAGTCCTCTGCTTAGTTCACTCTCCAGAAGACCTTAACAGCCTGTTTGTGGCGCCGCTGCCAGGGGACCTTCCTCACCACTCACTGTTCCCGTGTTGGACTGCAATGTCATTGCTGCTGCTGAAGCTGCCGCCTCGCCAGTCTCCTACTGCTGCCTCCGGAACATGCCCAGGCAGGATCCGCTTGCATGCCAATATACTGCCACAATGTGCCATAAGACTGAGCGAGACACCGCCATGCTGGGTCACAAGGCCACCACGGTCTGCCGAGTGACTGGGCTGAGGCCGAGAGACCAACATATGCTGCTGAGAGACCGCCACGAGCTCGGCTCAGCCGAGAGGATGTCTTTCTGGGTCCACACTGAGGTTGGGAGTGAAGAAAAGAAGAAAAGAAACACCAAGAGACAAGAAAAGAGAAAGGAACGGACAAGATCTGGCTGAAGCATACTACTCCGCCACCGCCATTTTGAACATCTTTATCATTTCCAGTTTTCAAAGAATAATGGATTCTGATGTAATTCAGTCTCCAAAACAGCTGTGAACAGTTTGTAGAAATGACATTTGATACATTGAATCACTGTAAGTTACATTATTCCTTATAAAGCTTATTCACCTTATGGTTCAGAACAATGGAGCTGCAACAAGAAATCTACTAGTGAACTGGAAATGGACATTTTAATTGGTAATAATATTTATAATGTCTGTAATTGTGCTACACATTTGTTATTTCAAGAGATCCAATTTCTAAATAGAGGCTTAGGATATGTAAGTGATTGTTGACTTATGGTTCACTGCAATTTGTTATAGTTGTTGTTGATTTCTTTTTCTGTCTAGAAGTACAAAGATGTAGAGCCCTTCATAAGGATTGAAGAAGTGGATGGAGTGGAATTGGTAATGCAGTTTGGAGAGAAGATGAAAGAGATGTTACGAAGGAAAGTTGAGGCAGTGAAGGTATAAACTAACTTGCTCAGCCTGCGCATAATTTCTATCCCAGCGGTTGCTTTCTATCAGTGTGGGATTTTCAAATGTTGCATGATTCAACAGAAAAAGCAGACAACTTAACAACAAGTTCTGAAATAATTGTACCCTTGTTTAAAATTTCGACCTCACTGTAGAACTTGAACACATAATCTAGTCTGATGTTTCATAGAATTAATGTTCAATTGTTGAAATTGCTGTCTCCAGCATGAGATGTTAAACAGTGGTTAATTTGGGCATTAAAATTCCCATGAAATTACTCAAAGAGCTGAAAGTTCTTCCAGTGTCGTCTCTCAACATCAAACCCCCTGCCAGAATTTCACTGAATAACAATGGGGCCTACATTTCAAAACAATTGCATTTGCTTTAATTTATTTTTGGTATGGTCTGGAATACCTCATACATCTCTTTGCCTCTCTACCTTTCTTCCTTCAAAACAGTCCTTAAAATCGTCTACTTTGACTAAGATTTTGACCTAAACTGTCCTTGTGTGGTTACTCATCTTTTTGTTTAGTAATAAAATGTGTCCTCATGTGAAGTTCTGAAACACTATTTTAAAGATACATGTTACTATTTCTGAATAAAATTGCAGAGTTCTGTAACAATGGAATTTTATTTCCCTTTTTTCAATTTTCTTCACTTTTGTTAGAGTAAATTGTTGTAATTATTTTAAACTGAGGAATCTAAATTGCCCAAAACAAAACAAAGATGGCTGATGGTTAGCTCACATTACTAAATTAGTCAAACTATCATTATTGTGGAGCATAATTGAGGGAGCAGGTTGACTATTCAAAGCCATTGTAGTGGATATGTTGCCAGAGAGAATGTTCACATTGTAAGGTTACAATGAAGATTATTGCATTCTAAAGCTCTGAAGTAATAGTGAGGCTTAAAGGTGCATAAAGGAAACACTCAGGGTGGGGTCAATTTCATAGCCTCATTAAGGAATGGACTGTCTGATGTGAATCATTTGTCTTTGTTGCAAAAACCATTTTAGTCCAGGCACGTAAAATAGCAGAAGTATTCACTATATTGTTGCTGGTTTAGCATTAACTTTGGTTCAGTGCCTTGACTATCAAATTATCTTGAACGCCCTCCACCCTTCCCATATCGAGGTCAGAGTGGCCATGACTTGCCTTGATTTCCCCATCCCCTTCAAAATCTCACAGCCACCTCTGATAACCTACCAGGATGCACCGTATCATCTACAGATGCCCCATCACTGTAATAATTTTCTCAGCCACTAAAAACAATCAGGTCAGGCCTGAGACTTGAGCTTCCAGCAGCCTTGAAAACATATTGGATTGTCTTTAAAACTTCCCAGATCATGTATAAATCACACTCTACCTGACAGACATGGTCTATCACTTTGACAAAGTTTGCAGGATAATTCCGACTGACTGCATCCCATTTCCTGATCTGAATTTGCAAGATGTCCCAGATTAACTGACTGAGGCAAGAACTGATTTTGCCTGATTTCCAGTATTGACCATGGCTTAGCCCCCAGACTGCAACAGTGCAGGTACTTTGATTTGTGTTGGACCAACAGACTAAAGGACCATGACAAACTCTTCAGACCTGAAATGGCCTGAAATGACTGTGGCAGTGCCTCCAAACTGACTATGGTCTGTCCTTACCTCACATTTCCACTTTACCTTTCACCTATTGGCATGCTCTTCGTGCACATACAGTGCATTTGCCGTGGAAGCTAATGACATATGACACAGCTGTGCACTGCCATGTTACCCCCTTTTTCACATTTACTCTTCTGTGTTTCCTATAGACAAAAGCTACCTAATTTTCCTCTTTTGCTAAACTTGTCACTTCAACCACAGCCTTTTCTGCTGCTCTAGAGTGCAACATGTGGGAAACTAGCTCATGCCTAACCCTGCCTGCTAACATGTCACCTGAGAATCTGGTAATGGTGTATTGCTGTTGCCCAATTATGTGAAGCAATGGTCCAGGGTGACTTTGTACCTTAGCCAACATGGAGAACCAAATGTAATTGTAGCAGTCCCATCTGAAGTGAAGAGAAGAAATGTGGCTGCAACAGTTGTGTATTCCTCCAGGCTGGAGGCAGAGAACCCAAATTGATAAGTACCAACTATTTATACAGTTGAGATTTTGAGGCATCACTAGAGCAGAGATTAATTGTGAAAGGGTGATTAATTCTGCCACATAGGGTAATCGATGAGATACCAATACATGTATAGAAACTCCTTGCCATCTGATCGTGATAAATGGATCTTACCATCTAATGTGGGAGTACTTTAAAGTGATAGCTAAACTTAAAGACAATAATATGAGTTTTGGACTCTTGTATGACTAAGTAATCATACGTAGTCAGTGTTTTCATGTATCTGCTTGTAGCTTCATGTGCTCTGGCAGTATCTGCAGCCTACAATATTGTCCTTGAATTTGACCTTTCCAATCAGATCTTTTTGTAATTTAGGGTGTCCAAATCTCTAAGAGAATGGATGGTAGCATTCCAATTTCTTGAATTTACATTTCTCAATTCTGAATATAGGAACAGGAGTTGGCCAAGTCAGTGTCTCAAGGCTGATCCATCATTCATTGAAATTGTGGCTGATCTTTGGCCTAACTCCATATCCTTAATACCTTTTGCTTAACAAAAATTTATCTATCTCAGATTTAAAATTAACAACTGATCTAGCACCAACTGCATTTGTGGAAGAGAGTTCCAAAATTCTACTGCAATTTGTGTGCAAAACTGCTTCCTAAAAATGATGCTCATTTTTAATCTATGGTCCCTTAGTTCTAGAATGCCTAACCAATGGAAACAATTTTTCTTTATCTATCCTGTTTCTTCATGTTAATATCTTGAAGACTCCGATTGGATCAGTCCTTAACCGTATAAATTCTGGAGAAAACAGACCTAATTTGTCTAATCTCTTCTCATAACCCCTGAAGTCCAGGTATTGTATTAGCCTTGGAGGAAGTTTTACAAGAATATCCTTCCTCAGGTGTGGTGCCCAGATCTACGCATTGTACTCCAAGTGGAGTCTAACCATTGTTTTCTATAGATGCAGCATAGTTTCTGCGTCCTTGTACTCTAGTCTTCTAGATGTAAAAGCCAACATTCCATTAGCTGCCTTGATTATTTTACGCTTTAAAATATTAGAGGCTTATCTGTTTCCTGCCTCAGGCTGAAATTCATTTCAGTGAATCTGCTGGATTTCTCAGGTTTCTGGCTGTGTTCTTACTGCATCTCCTCCTCCCCACTGAATTTTCTGTTAATAGTCACAAGGTCATTAACAAGACAATCTGCACAGTCAGTCAGAATTAAAACTAGGTAGCTATTCCTAAAACAATCCTGAACTCAGCGTAGAGGTTTATGCCAGCTACCCATTCTTGCCACATGAGACCAGAGACATTTTAGGACTCGGTCTTTATTTAAATGTGGCTAGGATGGCAGGAAATGAGTGGAATCCCCTGACATTCCAGCTGGCTCTTAAGTCTGGGTTGGAAAGCAATCCTGGGAGGGGCTTTGTAAGGACTGACAGTGGACTAGAGTTGTTTTTATAAGACTATAAGGAGCAGACCACTCTTCTTGGCCCTATAAAAATAAACTTTAAGTTTCTTGGTATTTCTCTGAGAGGCCTCCAGTGAACTGTTTAAAGACCACTATTTAGACTGCTGAAATCCTGTGCAAGTGGTTGGTATAGGAATGTTTGCTGTTTCTCTCTCACTCTCACATGATCTACTGAAACCTATTATCTTACTATAATGTAATAAACTACTTCATGCTACCTAAGCATATGCCTCTGCTGCTGAAGATTTATTTATAGTGAATCCTTCACCTTTAATTGTAGAAAGCCCCATAGACTAGTATTACAAGAAGGGTTGGTAACAACATTTTTATGCAAAGAAGCACATAGCAGAACCAAGTGCTAGTTCCAGGCTTCTCTCACAACATGATGCCAATGGTGTGGACTGTTTTCTAAAGTGAAGAGAACACCAGCAATGCAAAGAATCCATAGCAATTCAAAGAGGAGAGAGTTTTAATAAATCTACATAAAATCAATTAAATGTTGACAAATTCAACAACTTTTAAAGAGAACAGATCTCATCCGGTCCTAAAGAAACAATAGTAGCTCAGAGCTTAAGAAGCTTTAGCTGCAGTAAATCTTTCTTTGAGGATTAAATGAGGATTAAAAGTTATTAACAAATGAACTTGTATGGGCCAGAAAAAGCCTCTCAGAAGCTACATGAAGATAAATTCGAGTTGTGATCTGGAATAAAAATCAACATCAGCTGCAGAAGTATTGTCAATCCCTTACAGGAATGGTGAAAATATTTACTTTTATGGAAACCTTCTGGTCTGCAAAGCTGAAAGCAGGCGTCAGTCATTACATTTATTGAACCAGCATTTCTTTGTTCTCAAAAATTATTATAAGCTGCAGAAATATTATTCTAGAAAGAGGTAATTATTTCAAGAAAAAATCCACATTTTCACAGACCACATTTTCTTTCCTTATCTAGTCTCTTCTTAGTTACATCCACAATTCCTCTGATGCTTTACATCAGTTTCAAAAGTTCCAGTTTGCAGGCTCCAGCTGCCTCCTTCTCAACCATGGATGTTCAATTCCATTACATGTCCATCCCCCATCCATCAAGATGGTCTGAAGGCTCTCCACTTCTTCCTAGAAAAAAGGCATAAACCGTCCCCACCAACTAGCTCCTTCCTCTGCCTGGCCGAGTTCATCCTCACCCTGAACAACTTCTCTTTTAACCCCTCTCACTTTTTCCAGGTCAAAGGGATGGCCATGGATACCCACAAGGGCCCCAGTTATGCCTGTCTCCTTGTGGGCTACGTGGTTCATTCCTTGTTCCAGTCCTACTCCAGCCCCACCAACAATTCTTTGTCCAGTATATCGATGACATCGTCGGTGCTGCTTCCCTCTCTCGTTGGAATTGGAAAGGTTCATCTATTTCGCTTCCAATTTCCATGT